AGATAGACCGTCATCCTTCCTGTCATGTGAAATTACTAAAGTTCCACTAATGTTTGTCAAATCACTTTTGGGAAAAATAAGCTCTTCAGTTGAGAGAATTTTAGAATTCTTTTCAGAATTCATGTGTTCTTTTAAATAACTTCAATCTCTCTATTCCAATAAAAGCTTTCAGGCTAAGAAAGGATATGGACACATACACTATCATTAATTGTTATGAACATGTCATATCAACATGAATATGAAAGGCAGGAAAACTGAGCATGGGCTTCACGAGAATGATTTGCTTGTGCTGCTTCTGCAAATTTTCTGTAAGTCTCAGTCTATTGTAAAATAAGTTAACCTTGAAAGTCATGTCACACTATTTGTTCTAGCTTCTCACAGTCTGTGGGCTTCCTTAGAAGAAGCTTCGCTTGTCCTTGTATCTCAGATCCCTCAGTGAAAGTTGATAAGCAATTTTGCAAAGTTGTCCTCTGACCTTCACACTTAAGCACCCTCCCTCCCCATCTCTCTCTCTCTCTCTCTCTCACACACACACACACACACACACACACACACACACACACACACACACACACTTTAACATGAAAAGAACAGACTTTTGAGATCCAAAAGAAGGCTTTTTAAAAGAGAGTAAGTCAGAGTTGAGAGAAGCGGGAGAAGGAAGGCATGCACTGGCTTCAGAGGCCACTAAAGACTGGAAAGGCAGTTCTGGTGAAGTATTAGAAGCTCCTACCCAGAAGGGGAGGAGAGCATGTGAGAAGGAGGGCCAAAGAGCATGAGCCACCCTTCCCAGATGACTGGTTATAAAGGGATGGTTGCGAACAGCCACTTGACACAAGAGCTGGGCTCAGTTTTCTCTGCTTGGGAAATGTTAAGTGTATCTGTTTGAGCAGAATCTGCCTCTACTGTTGTAATGAGTCATTGCTGGATATTTGAGACCTAACATCTGCTAAGGGAAGTTCTGCCCCCCCTCCATTAATCCTTTGGCCTCTTATTTTTCATTTCATGTGCAATTTCCATAATTTCATTGCAATATGAGGAAGCTAGAAATTGGACATTTCCTGGAGCATTCAAAGGCTGAGTTCCACTGAGACCATTGCATGCTCAATCAATGTGACATGTCTTCCCTGAGTCTCAGCTTGATGTTTCCAAGAGGTGACATTGGAGATGGGTCCCCAAAGACACATTAAACTCCCAGTATCACCTTGCATTTGCACAGTAATGTCCCAGCCCCAGATTATTATGAAAGTCATTGTATTCTTTCTCAGGCTTACGATGCCCCCAAGATGAGGGAGAGTACTGAGACAATGCCATGTCATAGCAATGCCAACCAGCTCACCAACAGAAAGCAGGAAGCTCCCTAACTCCAGTAAGGTCCTATCCACATCCCACTCCCACACACTTTTCCAAATCAGCAGCAGCAGCAGTGACAGCTTTTGACAAGAGAGAAAGATGGAGACAAGGAGAGAGTTGCCAACTGCACCTCTGTCTAAGTCATTGGTCTCGTTGACCAACATTTCAACACTGCATATAGTCTCAATGACGCCTCCAACTTCTAAACCTTGCATTCTCATTAAAACCCTCCAAAGACATTTACAAATTTATTCTTCTATACTTTCATAATGCTCTCTAAGTTAACCCCCTCCTCCTCATTTCTTGTAGTGGTTATCAGCTATCGTAATGCTGTGACCCTTTAATACAGTTCCTCATGTTACGGTGACTCCCTCATCATAAAATTATTTTTGTTACTACTTCATAACTGTAATTTTGCAATTGTTATGATTCATAATGCAAATATTTGATGTTCAGAGTATCTGATATGTGACCTGTAAAAGGGTCATTCAACCCTTCAAGGGGTTGCGACCCACAGGTTGAGAATCACTGTTCTCACACCTCCTCTCTTCTCACACCAAACTTCTTTCCTCCAAGTCTTCCTATTTCCATGTCTCTCTTTGTGTGTGAGCCACTACATTTAATTAGAAGTGCCTGAATGAGCATGGATATGGGGATATTTGCTCAAGTAGGGGCAATGTATCAGTGGTTATATCACTGAGGAATACAGGGACTCTTAAAAAGGGCAATGCTTGTGTCTTCTCCTGAGCCAAAAGGGAATGATCACTGATAATACACTTCTGGGCAGTTCTAATATATACACAGACTGAGAGCCAGTGAACATGGCACAGTGATGATGTGGGAAAACCATATTAAATGGGGGTCCTTTCTCCCTGAGCGTGTCCATGGTGGCAATTTCTTCTGTGTACCCAGGGCCCAGACAACAGGGAGTATCTTTAACATTGTTAATATACTGGCAGGTATACCTGATGCTCCCTGATAATACTCTCCAGTCTGACCAGTTCTTACTATTGCCTCCTCCTCTTTCTTGATGTTGCTCCAACTTTCTCACAGCCAGTGACCCATATGTGAGTTGGTATATCCCCACTGTGCACAGTGTGCTGGTTATAAATCCAGCTCCTTCCTGTGCTGCAATTATGGCCACGTAATGTTAATGTCACAACTGTGTGTTAAGCTGAGCCCTGTGGCATCAAACACTAAGAAAGGTCACCAACTAACCTCTGTCCCCATTCTCTTAAATGGTGTCAATATTATGGAGTCACTTGAATGCAATTTACTTTAGCTCATCCCCTTATGGTTCTACTTCTGGGCCAGAATCCCACAAGAGTCGGGAACTGTATCAAGCAGTGCTTTCTAGTTTCTGGTGTTGCAGACCACCTTATGAAAAAAGAGCTTGGTCAGAAGTGATGTACCAGTTTTTCCTTATATATGCCGCATGGCACCTGCTAGATGGCTAATGAACACAAAAGATGAAGCCAAGGCCAGAAGCCAGAACAAAACCAACCTGGCTGTTACTAATGGTGATGAGTCATCAACATGGCAGCTCATTGTACTAGTTCACCCAAGGACTGGTGATACATAAACACAGGATAGCCAGCTAGACCTGCACTTCTAATGAACCATACCGGGGCATGAAGACCTTTGTAGGTCATGTATATTCCAAACATTATATAGAATATACTTATACTAAAAAAAACTTACCTTCACTGTTGATCTAAATCTCAAATCTAAACACATATTCTGTACTTGTAAACACTGAGTCTTACAAATATACTCCTGGGAAACTCCTTATCACTCTTTCCACCGCCCAGAAACCGTGTGTGTGTGTGTGTGTGTGTGTGTGTGTGTGTGTGCTTGTGTAGAGGTAAAAAGACAACTTGAAAGAATTGGTTTCTCTCTTTTGACCACGTGGGTCCTGGAGACTGAGCTCAGATTATCAAGGTTGGCAGCAAGCCTCTTTACCTACTGAGCCGCTCTGCTAACCCATTGCCTATACATACTTTAGTATATACATATATTCTTTGTTAAATACTATATTTCTCTTCTTCTTCATTCATCATTTCCTAATAAGACTGACCAATAGCATGATGGGAAGTTTTTTTTACTATCTGTGTTTTCTTCTAGGAAACAGCATCAGTGAGTGCCAACATGCTTCCTTGTCCTCCAGTATATACAATTTGGGACCACCTCTACAAAACATATTTTTTCCCCTAAGTGCAGATTGGATACTTGGCTCCTTTAGCCAAACCACTAACCTCTCCTAAAACAATTTCAAATGCATGCTTTCCAGGAGATAAATGGATGCTATAAATCATCCCATCTGTCCCCATACAGAGGGGCCCAGTGACTATTCTGGAAAGCTACATGGGATTTCTATAGCCTGATGCTTTTTTTTAAAGTCTGTTTTCTATCATGAAAAATGATCTAAAAATACTTGCATACAACACCAGGGCGAACCCATCAGCGTGATCTCTCCTTAGGACTCAGGTTTTTATAGATTTCATCATCTTCTGTTGCTATGTATTCTGAAATTTAAGAAAGCCATGCCTGCTTGGCAGATGAAACTACCAAAGTGTGAATTGGCAAAATTCCTATTGTTTATGTTCCATCACAAAAGGTGCAAAGCAAACATGACAAAAGCAAACAAGGTTTAGACTGTATTAAAACTCATAGTGAATTGTTGTTGTATAAAAACATTTTTATTAATAACCAGTTGGGAAAAACCAAAATGTTGATTATATTGACATAAATACAAAAAATAGTTGTCATTCAAGTAAACTGAATGCAGAGGTTATGTCTTGTAACCGTTGGCATTTGGTTGGAAAATTATTTTCCAGTGCTAGGAATTGAACCCAGGGCATCATGCAGGCTAGATGAATGTTCCATCACAAGCTACATTCTCAGCAGACCCCCCCCCCCGGGTGCTTTTTTTGAAAAAGGCATTACTATTGATATACTATTGTATGCATATAAATGTTCGCTTAAATGTATGTGTGTTCACCATTTGTATGACTGGTGTCCATGGAGGCCAGAAGGAAATGTCAGTTCCACACAATTGAAGTCACAGATGGTTGTGAGCCACCTGACATGAGTGCTAGGAACTGAACTGTGTAAGAGCAACAAGGGGTCTTAACTAATGAGTCATCTCTCCCTTCCATTCCCAAATTAATCTCAGTAGATGCTACCATTGTGGAGCCTCCGATTAGAGCTGCCCCACCAGAATTGGACTCATTTTAACTCCCGCTAAGAACAGAGCTCTTATTTCAAAGGGACAAAGTTTTTAGACTGAAATGAGTAAAGACAAAGCATGAACAGAATAACAGTTTGGTCAACACAATTTTGAAACTTCTAATATCTCAAAACTGAGGGTGAAAAAGAAAGGAAGGAAGGAAGGAAGGAAGGAAGGAAGGAAGGAAGGAAGAAGGAAGACAGAAAGAGAAAGAAAGAGAGAGAGAAAGAAAGAAAGAAAGAAAGAAAGAAAGAAAGAAAGAAAGAAGGAGAGAAAGAAAGAAAGAAAGAAAGAAAGAAGGAAAGAAAGAAAGAAAGAAAGGAAGGAAGAAAGGAGGGAGGGAGGGAGGGAGGGAGGGAGGAAGGAAGGAAGGAAGGAAGGAAGGAAGGAAGGAAGGAAGGAAGGGCGAGCATCTAACCTTGGCTGGGATGTTCTGTCCTGGGATCCCAGGGTCCTTGCTCAGAAGGGAGACTCTGGCCACTTCATAAGCTCCTCTCTGGTCCCACGAACTCACCCCTGAATCAAAAGAAAAGCATCTGGGTTTTCATTCTGGTGGAGGAATTTGGCATCAGAAGCTTATTACAAAAATGACACAGTGAAAACACTTGGAAGTTGAGAGAGCCCAGGGAAATGCTAGAATTCATTAAATCACCATAGGCATTAAGAACGAATACATTCTCTGACAATTTCAACGTTAAAATATTGTACCTTAAAGACAACAAATTGAATTTTTCTGTAATCCGTGTTGGATTATTAGTTCGGGCAAAGTATATAATTCAGTCCTTAAATTAGCAACCAAAGTGCATATGCAGTGACTTTTAAAAATGATAAATTAGTGGCACACTTAAGATCAACTCTATTAAAAGTCCCAAGGCCTTAACTGTATTAAGACTACATCCATCTACTTAAGTCTCAGTGAATATGTTAGACCCAATGCCAAGTCTCCTCTGGGCACTTAGGAAGTCTAATTTTATATGCTCTGGTAAGTGATTCTATAGATAAAATTAATTTGCCAGTTCAGACTGACTAGACTGGTTTATTCACTTATTTATTTTTAAATAAAGTCATTTGAAAAGCTATTCAATGCACTTGTCTCTTGGAGTCTTGTCTGAGGTGGCTGACAGGCCACAGGTTCAATTCTGCCCCATTTCCATAAGCAAACCCGATGGAAAGAATAACATTTTCTCTTCTGGAGGGTGTATCGTTTTCATAGCCAGCATGGTGATTTCTCTGGACTTGTTCGCCTATGAGGTCACACACTTGCTATTTGGTGGGCTCACAGCATGGGCCTGGAGGTGAGGGATGGGACCAGATTCCCCCACGTGTTATTCCCATTTCTTCAGCCAGAATTCATGATTTTCAGACTTGAGTCATAATCGCACAGTTTCAAGTTACTAAAGACTTCATATTTATGGGGCACAAACGGTATTGAAATTTTAATCCTAGACATTTTACAATTCCCTTAATACTTCTAAATCCACACCGTTTTATCATTCTCGAAGTGGAAGTCTGCAGTTATAGTCAGGTTACAAAGGGATTACTACTGGAACGTTAACTGTCTCCTGTAGCCTTTCCAGAACAATCTCAAGCTGGTCTCAAGCTTTCTAAACTCCTGGTTGTTGAGTAGCATGGGCTGAAAAGTCAGGAACATGTCCAGAGGCAGAGAAATGTACTGGGAACCTCAGCCATCTTGGACAGAGGGAGAAAAGAACATGGACATATGTCAGGTAAGGAAAGGAGGGTGGCAAAAGTGCTGAGATGGCTAGCCAGAGCTAGGAGAGAAGCCACTAGGCATGTCTGAGAGGGAGTTTATAATCGGGTTAGTTGAGGTGGGAAGACCCACCCTAAAGTCATTGACATCTTCCTATGTCTCGAGTTCCAGATGCAATAAAAAGAAAGCAGTGAGCTAAGCAACAACATTCAACTTCTTCCTCACTATAGATGCAATGAGACCAGGAGCCTCAGACTCCTGACTATATCCAAGTCTTTCCTGCCATGATGGACCCTTCCCTTGAGCTGTGGACTCAAACTGGGAACTCTTCCTTCCCTAAGTTGTTTTTGTTAAGTATTTGGTCCCAATGAGAAAAGAAACTACTACCATGTGCAGACAACACAAATGTTCAGAGATGAATTCATGTGTCAGAGGTGACATCTGAACATATCAGGGGAACACGAGCTAAAAAGAAAGAAAGGGGCTATCAGAAATCCACTTTGTTGCAGTGCATCATGCTGGCAATCTGTGCCTTCATCTGGTGGCCCCCAGGGGCTCACAGGTTGTGCATTAAGGGTTGACAGCATGGGTTCCTTGTCCCATTGTCATTGCCACTGTTGTCACCATCTCCAGTGCTTCATTCATATGCTTCTATTCAGAAAGCCCATTGTGTCTGCAGTATGGAAACCCTGATCTCTTAAATACACTTCATTGCAGAAGACACGGCAGTATCAGTCCTATGTCTAACATATGGACATAAAAAGAACTACCCTATGATGGATATACTTGGCCCAGAGACAGTAGAATGAATATGAGCAGAGCATCCTTAATCTAAAAATCCAGACTCTGAAACCAATCCCCACACAGACATTCTTGAACTGGAAATGCTGCCATCAGTGTAAAATTCCGTGCCTGACTCCTTCCTAGTGATGTCACAGTCATGATGCAGGTATTCTAACACTGAATATGATTAAGTATACACAGAAGATGGGTTTAAATAGTATGTGAAACATAAATGGGCACTGGGAGATGGCTCAGCCCATAAAGTGCCTGCATGCAAGAATGGGGAATCTGACGTCAGATTGCCAGTACCCATATGAAAACAAGGGATGGCGGTGTGAGGCAGGCAGACATAGATGGATCCTTGCAGTTCACTGGCTAGCCAGGCTAGCCAATCAGTGAGTTCTGGACTCAGCAAGAAAATAATAACATAACAACAACAACAGTTTGAAAAGAAATAGAAGAAGGGACTCAACTGAAGTAGAAATGTAGTTCTTTGGAAAGACAGTTGTGTCAGATGGTGTTTTGCTGGGACAAACACATGAAGGAGTGTTTTCCTGAAGTGGATACAAGCGAAAGGATGTTTTGCTAAAGCAGACACATGAAGGAATGTTTCACTGAAGTGGGCACAGGTGAAATGATGCTCTGTTAAAGCAAACATATGAAAGGATGTGTGATGAAGGATTCTTTGATGATGATGTGCATGTATTGGTTCCCCTTGCATGCATTGTCGAGCTCCATTTGTTGTACCTCCATAGAAAGAAACACACTACGAAACTCTTGGTGGTGTGCTGGCAGCTTCTTGCTGCTTCCTCAGACTCAGGCTGATTGGCAGAGTGATGTCAATGAGTGATACAAACTCACATGGAGTTTTGCTAAGCTGAGGAAAGACCCATGAAGGACGTGTGATGTTTGGAGGGCGTATAAATAAAACACAACAGACAGTGAAGAAGGCTTGTTTGCTTACATAGCTAGCTCTGCAACGCTTTTTGGTCTCTGGTCTTCCTTGATGTCCACTTCCTTGAAAGAACTATGACAAAGAACTTCTCCTGGCATCCCTGCTGGTCCTGGTCCCTCTTGCTGACTTATGCCGAGGCCTGGCTGTTATCCCAACACTACTGAACTGGACTGCTGGTATATCATGAATTGTTTGCAAGTGGATCGAGCTGCCACTGCTGATCTGTGAACGAAACTGTTGATTTCCTGACAATGCAAATGGGATTTGCTCCAAAGAACCTTTCTAAACAGGTCCACGTCCCCCATATCCTAATAACCTTTCTCTTCCATTACCTCTGGTGGGTGGTGGGCTAGAAGGGAGGTTAAAGATTTTAAGAAACATCATTAAAAATAAGGTTTGAAAAAATCAATAGCAACACTAAATATTGACCTCTGGCTTCTGTCATGCACACAAAAACATATGTATATGTGTGTGTATGTATGTATGTATGTATGTATGTATGTATGTGTACTAAAAATTTTCTTTTATACAAATATAAATGAATTTTTTGTGTTTATACATGAACCACATCTCCAAAATATCTAGTAATGCATATGCATATGCAAATATTCTAGAATCTAGACAAAACTTTTTGAATTAACTTCCAATCCCAAGCACGGCCAGAAGAGGCACTCAGCCTATAAGGCTGGTTCAAGGAGCAGCACATGTGCCATGAAAGGAGACTGAGGGAGGAGCTCTGCATTCTGCATCCTCTGCATCATGTTTGAATCTATCCTGCAAATCCAACATCGTCTCAAGAATAAAACAATAGCAAGGAAAAACCGATGAGGGGAGTGTCTAGAGATGAGACTCCCGAGGGAGACGCCAGGAGAAAACTTTTGGGGATTGCTGGCTTTGAAGAACACATGAGTTGAGATCTGAAGATGAGAACTCTCCTGATCCAGTAGAAGGAAGATCACATTAGCCAAGAAAAGTGAATCTTTGTGTGTGTGTGCGTGTGCGTGTGTGTGTGTGTGTGTGTGTGTGTTTGTGTGTGACAAGTTGAGTATGACCAGCCTAGGGAATGATCACACAAAGTGCAGGTGGGCACAAGCATCTCAGGGTCCTTGCCACACAAAGGCACTAGCTTTGAGTTAAATTATCAATACAAGTTAATTTGTAAAAGTAGTTGATGGTAGGTAAAGCCACTTGTCCTGGAGTCTGATAAACTGGACAGAGGAAGAGATCTAACATTGGTATCACCTGTTCCCCAGGACCCAACCCTAGCAAGAGGAAGACAGAATACTTCCCCATACTTTCTCAGTCATGGCAGAGAAAGACCTAGTAGACTTCCCCAAAGGCTTCAGATGCTTCAGGCAAGGTCTTTTCATGTTCTACAGCCCACCTGAGCTGCTGTCTTAGATAGAAGCAGATGGTACATGGTCCCCTAATCAAGCCAGTTACTACATGTTCTCTCTCCCAGGAGAGATACCTTGACATTGGGAGCATAAGGAAGGTCTGTGGGTGGGGAACTTGGATTTGATCATCCTGAGAGCCAACAAACCCAATGGAAAGAACTTCTTCAGCCTTTCAGGACAAGTTCCTCGGGCATTCTTGGTGGCAGAGAATGATAGCTACTAGATTTCCTGTAAGCCAAATGTGCCCAACATTAAACACTCTCCCCTTTCACCTACATTTTTTTCCAGGCTCTGAATCCAAAATAAGGCTCTCTTTTGGTTCCAAAGTTCTTCACAAAGAAACTTTATTTCTAGATATTCCTAGGAGAATCTGAAGGCAGACTGGGCCAATGCTTGTGAGACATTTTGCAAGGCTCTGGAGAAGTTGCATAACTGTACTATCTGCTGAGCACAGTGTTTATTATCTGTGTACAGGAATAATGGAGCCATCTCTGGGCTTTTTAATTGGTTGCACAATATCCCCTCCATGGGATCTGTGGTCAGGAGGCTGTTTCTTATGAGCTTTGCTTATGTATTTATGCACTAGTATTTCTTTTAGATGATACAAATAAAATTTTTATTTGTGCGGCATGGGTAGACAGGATGAATTACACACAGCTGTGAGATATCAGGATGTATTTTATGCAGCTATCTTGTTGACAAACCATAAAAGGAGGTCTTGAATGATGCATACATTCAGAAAATATGACCTTATAAAATGCACAGTTTGTATACAGTTTGTTTTTTATAATCTGTATTTGGGCATTGACAAAACTCACTGTTATCTAAAGAAGAAATGTGGGCAGCTCATACTGGGAAAAAGCTTCCAGTTTCTTTGATCCTGGGTAAACCTAACACACCATTTGCTCTGTGGATAAAGAGTAAGTACAATAAGAAGTCTCATCATGAAAAAAAAAACACAGTAGCTATTTTGATTTCTAATGCAAATTATCTTCTACAAGAACGGACTCTCACTCCCTGTGTATGTCTCTCTCTCTCTCTCTCTCTCTCTCTCTCTCTCTCT